TCGGCCCTTTGTGTATTTCCAAACAGAGGGCGCACCTGTCTGCTCCCCTCCCCCCGGCCTGCTCTCCTGGCGTTTCCATGGAGGTGGCTTTAACGGCTTAAGCAGAAAATAGAGCTAATTGGCGAAGGCTCCTGGAACTGGCACCGCGCGGGGCGACACACGCTGTCCATAAATCAACCGGGGACTGCCGATTCCTATCGGAAGCGGGCAGTGCGGCTCGCGCGCTCCGGCAAGAGGGTGCCTTTGCCGAAGACACCTGTAACAGTTAGAGCAGCCCCAACACAAAGAGATCGCGTTGTCAGAAGAAATTAGATGGGGTCCTCCCCCTCCCCACCCTTTCTTACAGAATTCATCTTGAATTTGCTTGATAACATGCCGGGTTGAGCTTGCCACGGAGCCGCCAATGCCCGAGGCTTGCGGCTCCACTTCCCGCCCTCTGATGTTGAAAGACCGGGATGGGCAAAGTCGAGTTATGCTTTAGATCCCAGAATTGATCCAGCATGCTTCTGTTGCACCAGATTTTGGGTTTGCTACAATACAGCAGCATCTGGTGTTCTTATTTAAACACGTGGTTGACTGTAAGAGTCACTCCAGTCTTTAGGCCGTGGAGGAGGGGAGGGGGGGAAAAAGTAGGGGGTTACTACAGGTTTAGACACGTAGTGAAATAGATCCCTTGGAATGGATCCCAAGGCGGGGCAGTTGGTGTGAATCCAATAAATTACTGGAAAACTCTTCGACGCTTCCCCCCCCCCCAGTATTTTCGTGCAAGCAGTTAATTAGTCGTGTATTCCCTTTCCGTGGAGCGTCTTTGATTTCTTGATGTTTAAAGATTCGGCCTCCAGCTGCGCTGTTTTTGGAGAATGCAAAAAAAGTTTTGTTACCTACATTCAAAAAAAATTCCCTATCCTAATCTTGAATTTTGTACATGTTGTAGAGAAAAAAACACTTTGGGATCACTTTTAGAAAAACGTAGTTTCAGGTAAAACCTGTTGCATTTCTTTTTAAGATATACTTAACGTTACATATACTTCTTATTCTGCACCAAAAAAATTGTTGAGTATTGAAAATAATCATTTACAACATGGCTTACTTTATTTATTTTTAAACTTGGCTTGGCTTTTAAACCCACTGAGAAATTCAAAGTAAAGTTATATGTGAACTACTGAATGACTGCAGGACAGCCTCATTCTAAACTGGCTGCTTCTGTTTCCAAAATTAGAAGTGATGCACCTGTTATATCTGACCCTGGGCCTGTTTAAGAAAATCCTTTAGGTATTTTAAGATCTAATCCAAGACAGACCCTTTGTAGGCCAACTCCCCAAATATAGCTCAGTGTTCAAGCAACATTAGAGGATCCTATATCTTTAAACTGGACCCATGCTTAGGGGAACTCACTTTCAAAGGATTTTTATACTTACTAACATTTTCTGAAGCTTTTAAAAAAACAAACCAGAGTAGCTTGAAAACGTTCATTCTGAAGGAGCCATTTCTGACCATGGGAAGAACTCTAAACAGGCATTTTTAAACCTGCACATTTAAAACCTCACATTTTAAAATCTGATTCAAAGGCTTTTGAGACCTAATCTTATGCAAATATGTCAGTCAGCTTATACAGTCAATACCTCAAGTAAGTTTACTCTGACAAACTTTAGGGCTAATAATTGCACTAGATGGAATTTTTTTTTGAAATTTTAAGTGATAGGTTGATAGATTTCATGCAGTTTGCTTTAAGGTGAAGTGTTGTGATAGGCAGCCTCTAAAATGGCTCCCAGCAACTTCCTCTCTCTTGATAGTCACACTCTTGTATAGTCAACTCCACCTTGCACCAAGGTTGGTCTGAGTGACCAATAGAATAGAGCAAAAGTGATATAAACCCAGTTTCCACAGACAGGCATCCATGGTCAGGCATCCACGGGTGTCGCCTCCTCGTGGTGCCCCATGACATGTCCTGGTCCCAACCGGCAGTAGAGGTTATAAGGTTATAAGAAATTCTTTTTATAAGAGATTATCTTGGCATTCTGATTGCTGTCTAATACTCCCTGTTTCATGGGTCATTCACGCTGGTTGGAAGCTGGCTGCTATGTGTCAGACTTACAGAGAGGTTCCCCTGGTAAGGAATTGGAGCCTTTTTCCAACAGCCTTATGAGTCAGCTTTGAAGCAAATCTTCTAACTCAGTCAGACTCTCAGACAACTCCAGCTCTGGCCAAAACCTTGACTACAACCTCATGAGAAACCCTAAGCCACAACCACCCAGATAAGCTCTGAAATTCCTGACCTTATAAACTATATGAGATAATAAATGTTTGTTTGAAGCATTTTTTGGAATAATCTTTACACAGCAGTAGAAAAGTAATACATATATAATACTGTCTTTACTAGACAGACACAGAGTGAATGCCTTTCTTTTTTTTTTTTTTTTGAGTTGTAGTCTCTGTCGCCCAGGCTGGAGTGCAGTGTCATGCTCATGCCACCCGCTGGGCTCAGGTGATCCTTCTGCTTCAGCCTTCCAAGTAGCCAGAACTACAG